GAAAATCAAGAACAACAATCATGAAACCTAAACAGTGTCATACTCCATTGTTATGCAACCCATTATAGTGTTAGAATCTCACCCTTACCTTAGATTTCGATCGATTCTTGATTCCTACGGTGAACCTTCTTGCCCTAGCCTTTTCCTCTTCTTCTCTCTTCTACAATCTTCTCTGTTCTTTTTCTACGTTGTTTTTCCTCTTCTATATTCTTACTCTATTTTATTCCAAGGACCCCTAAATCCTAATACCAATCTTGCCCTTCTCAATCATATAAAATAATAATTGTCTAAATAACCATAAAATAATAATAATCCTATTATTCGACTAATAATTCTATTTAATTATTATACTATAGTATTAAATCTAATATTTTAATACAAATAACGCTAATAAACTATTTATCTCTCTACACTTCATGTTTCTACACTTTTGGTCATACACCCCACATTATCTCATTTCTAATAATTTCTCAGGTATCTAATTCCCGACAGAAGCATCATAACACAACAAAAGATTCGCCAAAGCGCATAAATAAATCACATCACTTAATTAATCTAAATAAAACAATTCAACGAAATCAGGGTGTTACATAGACATGCTCAATAGTTTATGTTTGGTTGTATTATTTTTTTTGTAGTTTTAGAACAAATTATGTATTGTCAGTATACTTTTTATTTTACTTTAATTAATGATTGTGTAGCATGTTCGAATCAATTAGTGTATCAAGTTTTTAATTTATGGCCTAAAATGACCTAAAATATAAGTTGGTATAAAAAAATTGTCATGTTGAGAAAATGCCTTGGAAGTATTCAGGGGGATTTCTGGAGATGCATATCTGAAATATCGTCTGAATAAACCTTTAAATGACTTCAGGAGGTATTTCAGAGATGCATCTCCAAAACAATCTAGAAAATTACGAAGATGCATCTCTGATTAGGTTTTGGAAAAAATGGGATACCTCTTTGAAATACGAGTTTTGGTGTGCTTTAAGGTGCGTTCAGAAATACATCTCCGAACACTGAATACATGAAAGACATTTGGATTTTCAGAGGTGTGAAGGGTGGGATGAGTGTTCCCCAATATTTTAAGCTTCAAAATCTTACAAATTGGTGTAAAAAGTGAAATTTCTAGGGTTGCCTCGAACAACAGGAATTGATTAGTATCGGCACGCTGGGTCCAGACTCCAGAGCCCAAAATGGTTTCCACGTCATAGCTGAGGGCTATCCTTCATGACAGTCTTTGTCAACCTTTCTTACCAATCTCTCTTCTTTAGAACAGTTAATATATTTGTTTTCTTAGATTATGTTTGGGAGTTTGGAGGGGAAGGGAGGGGAGAGTTTTGAAAAATAGGAAAGATTGAGGGAAAATAATAGAAAGATTTTGGTTAGGAGGGTTTGTATTTCTTCATAACACCAAAAATCCCCTAATATGGGAGAATTCAAAATTTGTATTGGAGGAGGATTTTGGAGAGCTTAATCAATTTGTTCAAATATAATTTTTGTTGTTATAGTATTTCAAAAACTAAAAATACATTAATAATAAATATTATTTTATCATTCTAAACAAAATCTTCTTTTTTAAAAATGTTAAAATTTTCTTTATATTTTTAAAAAAAAATCATTTTTGGAAGCCCTCCTTTCCCCTCCCCTCCAAACTCCCAAACATAACCTTAGTCTATATCCTAATACACTCATTAATATTTTTCTAATTTGTATTTCGATCAGTAAATGTTAGAGATTAATTTGTTAGAGAATGAAGAATTGATTAGCCGGAGGAATCAAATTTCATTCTTAACACTTCTTCAATATCCCAACTCATTTCATTAGGCTGCTTCAAGGACTAAAATCACTAATGACAAGAACACCCATGATGTATGACATTACCTTTAAATGACATATGGAGAGGAATATCTTAAGGAATAAGGTCATTTTCTCATCATGCCATTAGAGGCTGCTTATTTGGAATTGTGAATTGGTGAACAACTGTAACACACTCTGAAACAGATTATCTAAACTAGATGGATATCTCCTAAGCACCTACCACAATGACATAGAGAACAAGGTCCTTATGTAATATTTGACCAAGTGGGAACTCTAAAAATATGCCTAACATAGATAGGATCATCGAAGTGCAGAAAGGCCTAACTCTTCTAATTTCTTGTGTTCCAAGCCATGTTCTTACTTCATATTTTCAATTCAGTACAACTCAATATTTGATTTAACTTACCTGTTAGGTGAACAAAGGTCAAATAGCTCTGACAATTAAATGATATTAAAAACTAGATTATTTTTCATACATAACGAAAATAATGCATAATATCGAGAAAAGAAAATGAGTTTGAATTCAGAAAATAAATAATATTTCTGACTAAAACATAAATAATTGGAATGGCTGACTACAACTTGGTGCATAGGGGACCATATCCATTGATTAAAGTTATGTACAGGAAATGGTGTGGAAATAGCATTATGCAGATCAACATTGAAACACATCTAAAGGGAAAGTGGTACAAATTTTGATAAGTCGGAAAGTAGTTTTCAATGTCAAATGCAGACTAAGGAAGAAGACCAGAGATAAAGGTATCAAAATTACTCATTTAAAATTTAAGCAGTTTTTATTTTCATCTTTGGTATGTCAAAGTTGGTAGGTAACATTGACCAGATTCTCTATAAATACGAGAAATCAAGTTCCCTTCAAGCATCACAAACTTACCTTACCATCCTGAGTTCTGACTGCTTTATCCATTCTGTCCTACATGGCATTCTCTCTTATGTGTTTTGTTCTCCTTGCCACCTTTCTTTTCATGCAAACTTTGGCAGATACTTCATGCACCGATTGTTTTGTTCAATCACGTGCATCATTTTACTCAAACTCTGAAGAAAATGGCACAGATGGTAAAACAACTGATAAAACGATAACAATAATGCAAACATTAAATAATATTTGTAAGCAGGTTTTCTCATATATATGCTCCTTTTGAATTCATTGCAGCTGGTGCATGTGGATTTGGTTCCTTTGGTGCTACCATTAATGGCGGGGATGTATCGGCTGCATCAAGTCTTTATCGAGATGGAGTTGGCTGTGGCGCTTGTTACCAGGTGATAACACTACTATACATATATGATATTTCACATATAGCACACCAACATTATTATTTTGTTAGTTCTTCCATTTGGTCCTTTGACAATCACAAATGTAACTTCAACAACAGTCTGCAACTTAACATTATGCATTCTAAATTCAAAAGTAATATTTTTCAATACCATTTGCCAGATAAGGTGTACCAACGGTGGTTATTGCTCAAGCAACGGTGTCACTATAGTTTTAACAGACCAAGGCTCAGGCGATAACACAGATTTTATTCTTAGCCAACGAGCCTTTGGTGGGATGGCTCAGAGTAAGGATGCATCCACTTCTTTATTAGCACTTGGTGTAGTTGATATTGAATACAGAAGGTGAGAAATCCTTCAACACAATTATTTCATATATACATCCGCAATGAGTTTGAATCTTCCCTAGATCTTACCATGGTGAAACATTATAGCATTATGTTGTCTTTTTTTTTCATGCATTAATTTTTCTTGTTTTTGTTAAATGTAAACTTAACCAAGGCCTCTCGTTGTTGTCTCCAGGGTTTCATGTAGCTACCCTAACAAAAACATCACAATTAAGATTGATGAAAGCAGCAGCAACCCTAACTACTTGGCTTTTGTCATATGGTTTCAACAAGGGAGAAGAGACATAACTGCTGTGCAGCTCTGTGAGGTATTATCCACTTATTTGTCTCGTCATAAGTTGTAACTTTGAGGTGCACAAAATAAATAAAGAAAACTAAGAAAGGTATGTTGTTAGGTCAACATTATTGTAATGAACTTGCCTTTTTTGCTGACTGCAGACTCAGAACTTTGTCTGCAAGTTACTGGAACGGAGTCATGGCGCAGTCTGGACTGCTACCCCTCCACCGAGTGGACCTTTGTCTTTAAGGATGTTGTTTAGCACTGAAGATGGAGATGATACATGGGTCGTTCCTGTTAATAACATACCAGAAGACTGGAAGGCTGGAGAAACATATGACTCAGGAGTACAAGTAGACCAGTAGAGAAGCATCAAAAAATTGTTTATTTATATGCTATTATTAATTACCCTGTTATGAAATAATTAAATGAATAAATAAATAAGTCCACTGAGTTTATCATATCATTGATCACAGGTAGGTACACTTTTGAATTTCATATCATTGGTTGAAAGTGTTAGTTTCATTCATCATTACATGTTAATGTGTACATCAAATAAACTTTAACAAAGGCATTAATATGACAAAAAAAGTTTTAAATTATGAACATCTGAATATAGAAATACAGATGTAAATATATGTGGTTATCTGATATCATTTTATCAAGGTAATGTTGTCCTGTAGGGTCTGAAATCTGATACCGTAGATATAAAAAAATACTGAGCATTATCTAGATTTCTCAATCCTTATTACCCAGCTACTAGCTTTCCCTGAAACTCATATTGATGTATGTGATGTAAGATCCAACAATCTCGTGTTCCAAGTATTTTCACTAGAGAAACAAAGTTGATAAAATGAATTATCACTGACCAAGTCGTTCTTCAAATAAATCAATTATCCTTCATACATAAACCCGGAACCAAAATCTATGGGAACCAAAATGGACTATCTGCAGCATCAACTAGACCCTTTTGATTCATCACATCCTTAGAAATTCACCAGTATTCCGCTTCCATTCTGCAACCCACCATTCATCACTGGCTGTCTCTATCCTGACATTTTTTCCGATATCCATAATTACCACCTCAATATCTCACTCTTTAGCATGCATTCTGCTTCTATCCCAACAGCCTGTACTATAGAGAAACTAGCATTTTTCTAGGCATGGCGTTTTCTTTCCCAGTTGAATCTTAAATGGATATTTTCATCTGTGCCCCTAATTCACCCAACATTGAGTAGACTACCTTTTTCCTATCAGACCAAACACTAATTAACAATGCATTTTGATTCAAAATCTTCAACATGAACCAAGCTCGATGCTGCTTCTTTTTGTAACCCTTTTTCTTTCATCATCAGTCTCACATGCTCAACATCGTCCCATCTCCCTTGAGCCCCATATATATCAGACAGCAATATATAAGGACTAATATCCAGTGGCTCCAACTCAGCAAGTCTCTTCGCTACATTCTCCACAAGCTCCAAGTCCAAGTGAGTCCTACAACCAGAAAGTAGAGCCCCCCACATAGCTGATCCACCTTTCACAGAAACCTTTTCTATAAGCTCTTCCGAATTCTTCACAAAACCAGCTCGAGCAAGGAGATCAACCATGCAGCCATAGTGCTCAACCTTGGGTTCAATCTTATAAACACGATGCATGAGATCGAAGTACCACCAACCCTCCATGACCATCCCGGCATGCGAGCAAGCAGACAACACACAGACAAAAGTAGCATCGTTTGGTTTCTGATCTGTCTTTTCCATCTCTGCAAACATTTCAAGAGCTTTGTCCCCATTTCCATGCAAACCATATCCCATGATCATAGAGTTCCATGACACAATGCTTTTCACCGGCATCTCAACAAAGACATCTCTTGCTAAACCCATGGCCCCGCATTTTGCATACATTGTAAGAAGACAAGTTCCAAGCAAGACATCATGTTTAATATTGTTACTCTTAATATAAGAATGAACCCACAAACCCAAACTCAGCTTCCCTAAATTTGCACAAGCAGTAAGAACACTCACCAAAGTAGCCTCATTTGGCATAGCTTCACCACTTTCCATCATCCTCTCAAACATCTTCAAACACTCACCAAAATTCTTCACCCGCACATACAACGCCAACAAGGAATTCCACGAAACCACATTCCTAATACCCCCATCCATTCTATTAAAAAACTCAAGAGCAAGAGAAACATTCCCAACTCTAACACACCCATCAATCATACAGTTCCAAGACACAACATCTCTATCCGGCATTGTTTCAAACAGCTCCTTCGCACCTTCCAAATCCCCAACGGACACATATCCCGCAATCATACAATTCCAACTGAAAACATCCCTATAACGCATTTCACCAAACAGTTTCCGTGCACAACCTATTCTCCCAATCTTAACATACCCATCAATCATCGTATTATAACTCACCAAATCCAATACGTAACTGGACTCAAACAATAACCAAGCATCGTTAACTCTTCCAAAAACGGAGTACATTCGAATCAACGAGTTCCGCGCGAACAAATTAAACTCAAATCCAAATTTAACAACCCGAGCATGAGCCTTTTCTCCTTCTCGTTGATACCCATTATCAGCAAATAGTTTAAGAATGAGAGGGAAAGTATAGTGATTCGGTGAAACCCATCTAGCGAGCATTTTGTTATAGTAGAAACTGAAAGCAGCAGAGTAATTAGAACTCCGTAGATAAGAACGGATGATGGTGTTACAGAGAAAAGCATCGGGGTGGTGGAGATGGTCGAAGAGGGAAGCGGCGCGTGGGATGGTGCGTGGATGAGAGCAGAGTTTCTTGATGGCTCTGCTGGCGACAAGAGAGTGTTGAAAGAGGCCGTGGATGATGAGTTGTGTGTGAACTTGGCTGAACTGTTTGATTCCGTCGCATGACTCAAGCGCTGATAAAACGTGTTCTTTGGAGTTTAAATTCCACTGTGTGCTGCATGTCCATGCATGTTTTAGCCTCGCTGCCATTTTCTTTTGGGGGTAACATTAGGCTTTCCGTTGTTAGCTTTGCATGTATACTTGTTTTCCAATATTTAATGGAAGGTTATTTATTAACAAAATAAATATAGAAACATTAGTTATCATATTTTATATACTTATTAAATTACATTTTTATTTGCTAAAATTAAACCTAGAGAATAATTCTCATGCATCGAATCCGTGTAAAATTATTTTACACGTGTATCAAATTAAATCATAATATATATATATATATATATATATATATATATATATATATATATATATATATATATATATATATATATATATATATATATATATATATATATATATATATAAAGACTATTATTGTTATGGACTGGGCCAGCACTTGCCCTATCGATGAGGAGGTCCCATCCAGCGCCTTTGCCCAAGGTCCAAATGCATGCAACCCAAGTTGTAGACCGTTAGGTATTTTCCCACGTGTCCGCTAGGAAGGTGTTGCCTATGTGTCCATATCGTCATCATAACTGTCCTTCGAAAATCACGGGTCCAACACCTGTTTCTCTCGGAGCAGTTGATCAGGGAGGAGGCCACGTATTGGACTCCATACGCACGTAAGTCTTGGTAGTCTTCGTTGTTGGACCTCATCGTGGCCCAACATTGAAGACCTTGGCCCAACGCTTGGGCTATAAATACTCTCTCACTTGAAGGGATTAGGTATTGATTCATTACACTCTCAGACTCACTTACTTGCATAAACTCTGAACCTCACTTTGTCATCGAAGTGTCATGCAGGTACCCCCCCCCCCCCCTCTTCACCTTCAACTGTTACTCGACTCAAAGCTTGAAGGCTTTGAAAATCCCTCCTGGTCAGGTACGATCAGTGGTGCCGTCTATGGGAAACCAGCTTCCCCGTCTCCATCTCAAGACTAAAGCAACCCTCCAACAAACTTTGTGATTGTCATGGCCGACCTAGCTGCCAACAACAACCAAAACGCCCATCTCGCCGACCTCAACAACAACGTCGGCGACAATATTAGTAACAACAACGCCGGGAACGACATCGACATGGCTGGTCTCTAGCAGAATTATAGAGATAGACTGACCGCCTCTTCGTCATCCCACTCTCGACCGCACGAGGATGTCCATCCCCACCAGAACTATGAACCAAATGCTTTCCAGAAGGTCCACGTCCCCACGGACGCTGATGCCACGACCAGAGCTATATTCGCGGGTGTTGTACCCCAAAATTTGTCCTCTCATTTATCAAATAATCTTTCACAAGATATCCTTTGGTTCAAGACTGCACAAGGGTTGATCAGCTCAAGACACCTCCTCAAGCACTGATGACTGAAAATTAGGGTTTGGGATTGCACAAGGACAAATAAAATTTTAATGCCCCATATGATTTTCATGGGTCATTTTGGACTCTCAAGATTGTTCATGTCAAGTTTCAAGTCTTGGATCACATTTTTGCTCAGTCAATTGATCAGATGACCTAAAATTAGTTGTATTGGGGGAAAATTCAATTGTGGTCAATTTACAGTCAAACTTCATAATTTTTTATCCATATCAACATTATGAATTCATATTTGTCATTTTATCAAGTTTGGATCATAATTCCTCAAAAAATTTGATCAGATCATCAAAAGGGCAAAATGGTCAAAAATAGGATTTTGTCTGAGAAGGTGCAATTTCTGATTTTTGACCTAGCAAATGTTTGATTGGTTTAAGGAATGATCTCAAGGATTCAAATGCATCATTTTGAACTAATGACATGGCTCAAAAGATCTCTCAAGATCAATTGGATTGACAGTTGAATTTAAGTCAACTGATGAAAAGTCAATTGTACACTAAAAAGTCAAACTTTGACTTTTTAGTCAAAATCAAGTATCAAAGATCACAATTCACCAAGACATGTCAAAATATGAAACTTGTTCATCAAGAAATCAAAAAGTCAAGATTTCATTTTGAAAAGTCAAAATTTCTAAACTTAGAAATTTTTCTAAGTGTTGGAAAATTCATATTTTCTCATAATTTTGAGCCAAATTTCTACCATGACGCAAGATGATTCAAAGGAAACTTCCAACATAAAAGTTATATATCTCAATGAGACATAAAACATTGTAGAACACAACTTCTCCTAGAAATGCATGGATTTCAAGTTATGACTTTGTGAATACATGTTCATTGAAACTTGGAAACTTAGTGAAATTTTGCCCTAGTTTAGACAGGATTTTGACCTAACTTCATGGCAATTTTTCACATAGTTCCAAGATGAATTTTCAAAAATGTCCAACATAGAGGTTGTAGAGTATGTTACAAGATTTCTAAAATATCCAAGAACTCATTAAGATCATACTTGAGCAAGGAGAATCGAAGGCAAGAAGTTAGGGTTTCATTCTTGAATTACAAGTCATTTCTTGATGAACACATAACTCAATTTCAATGTTAGGCTGCATAATATTGCTTTGCAGGCCTTCTAACTTGTGTATCTATCCATCATTAATGGATTACACAAACTTTTGAGCTATAATTCAAGTGGTTTAAGCTTTATCCAATTCACATTGCCATTTTGGAAAGAAAGTGAAGAATGCCATTCTTGAAAAGCAAGCTTTATGCACAAAGTCAATTCTTGAGCCTCTAACTTATTCCCTCTAATAACACTCCATCTATAAAGTCAGAAGCAAACTTGTTTAAAGCATAATCACTCTACATTAGCAAGTACACAAGACTTTGAAACTTGGATTTCTCAAAAATCACATGTTGAGCTTAAGCATTTGTTTTTGAATTCTGATCAACAACAAGTCTCCAAACTTGTTGCTTATAAATAGAGTCACTATTTGTGAGTTAGGACGAGAATTAACACCCTCAAACTCACTCAAACTCTCTGAAAACTCAGATTGCACAAAAACTCCATTGTTGTGCAGGACCTGACCAAAAACTCCCATCTCTCAAACCACTCGTGCATTTTTCTCTCTAAATCATCTCAAAAGCTTACTTACTTCAAATACACCTCATCCCAATCCCTGTTTCTAAACTGTAACACCATTTTCACCATTGACCAAGCTCAAAAACAGGGGTCTGCAACTTGACTTCTCCAGGCCATTTCAGCCACCCTTAACTCAAGCTAAGCATTGCATTAACTTCCTGGGAACTTGAGGAAGCTAACCTGATCATTGCAACACCTTGAATCAAGCTCAAACTCATTACACGATTTCCAGTTTTGAGGTATATTTTTTGAACTTTTATCTTCTCATTTAGGCATTGTTAGGCTTGCATTTGTGAAGATAAAATGTAGACATCATTGCCCTGAAGCTGTACATGTCCATAGATTTCATACATATTGATTGAGCTAGGAGAATTTTAGGATTGAACCTCTGAAAATAATTAGGTCAGAATTTGGTACTTTCAAAAATTCTCATTCATCTTTAATTTATAGCTTATGATATTTATATGGTTGGATTCATATGGAAAAATGGAGCAACTTTCATGTTTGCATATTTCATTTTTGTTGAGAAATGGTGAAGTTACATATGATCTGGCTGGAGGTTAAAGATGAAGTTCCATATTCATGACTTGTTTTGTATTATGTATTTATTATTTCAGTTAAGTTATCGGATGTACAGCCACCCCAGTGGCAAAGGTAGCGCGCATATGTATGGAAGGTCATGGGTTCAACACCTAGCGCTACCTTTTGGATAATTTTTCTCACATTTTCTCTCTTTTTTGTCACACAGTAGCGCACTTGGCCTCCCCCTTTGGGCTTTGTTTTTTTTTTTGCTAGCTTCTGACCCCCTGCCTACTTTTGCACCCCTAACCCAACTTTATTTTATTATTTCATTTTCATTTTCTTATTTTATTTTATTTCAGTTTTATTTTATTATTTTTCATTACTATTATTATTATTATTATTATTATTATTTTCATTAATAAAAAATCCAAAAATAATTTATTTGTTTATTTACATATTTAAGAATATTCATTTTTATTTTTCTTTATAAAACAAAAAGACCAAAAACGTTTTTTTTAACAAATTAATTTCTTTTTTTTCTTAAATAATTAATATCTAGACTTAGGTTTAATTATTATTTTATTTTCTTAATTAAAATTAATTTAGAACTTAGGTTTCTTTTAATTAATTAATTTCCATATTATTTTCCTTAATTTAAAACATTTCCCTAAAAAACCCTAAAAATCATTTTTAACTTAATTTCTTTCTTAATTAGTTTAAATTTAACTTTGCGTATTTTTTTAAATCATTCTCTTAAATTAGGTCAAGACCAAACCCTATCATAAAATCCAAATAAAAATCATTTCTTTTTCCATTTGCATTTGTACATTATTACTTATTCAATTCTTGTACATTTATTCAATATGGTTGTAATAGTTAATTAGGTTTAATTTTCTTGCAAAATCCCCATTTGTAAATTTGTACACCCCCCTCATGATGTAATAGCTTAGTAATTTTACTTTCCGCAATTTATCGCTTTATATAAATGCTAGTAAATTAGGGTTTGTATGGAAAGATTAAAATCAACAAGGTAGAAAACCCTAATTCAAGATAAAATAATGGATGTAAATCAAACACACTTTCACACTTGCATCCCTTAGGGTAATTCCACTTTGTTGCCTTACAAAAATGGCCATGTTATGCATGTGGATATATTAGCAATCAAAAATACAAGATCATAGTCCATCGATGACGCTATCAATGTTGCCTTTCAAAAGGATCTTAGTCCCTCAAAGAAAAATGCTAAGATATCTCACAACATTTGCTATCATGGTTATACGATGACCCACGCCCGTCCCTATACATCCAAAGATAAGGCTTCTTACCAAATCAATGGTAAGATAGCAATATCAAAGGAAAGGAAGAAATGAACTAAGACTTTTGAGTAAGTAGATTGTTCCTAGTTTCTTGCTCAATTTCAAATCAAACATCCTTGCTTATTTTCAAAACAAACACCAAACACTTTCAAAAACACTTTTAGAACATTTTCCAAACATGAAACATTTTCAAA